TTTCCACTGGAATAAACAAACGATGGATGTATTGCCGCCATTTTGAATTTGGCAATGTCACGTGGTCGCGCGTCGACCAATCAGACAATTTTCGCCGGTGAAGTGGAAACGAAACAAAGCGTTGATGTTGAGTTTGCGAGTTTTAGCTCTTTTTGTCCAAATAGTTACCAGTTAACAAACTAACTAGCCTGAACTGAGTTCCGTCGTCAAACCCCACAAGTTTTATGGATTAAAAACTTTGTTAATGATATATGAAATAAATCATATATAAACTGCGGAAATGAAATGAAAATGAAGAAATGATCGTCGCAGTGAAAGCAATTTATGCAATTGCGTAAAGAAGCCTGAAAAAAATTCAGAACTTCAACGGGGTTTAAACCCGTGACCTCGCGATACCGATGCGATGCTCTACCAACTTAACTATGACGTTTGGAGAAGGTCAGTTGTGGGTTCATAAGTTCCCGTGAAAGAAATGAGTGTTAATGATATATGAAATAAATCATATATGAACTGCGGAAATGAAATGAAAATGAAGAAAATTATCGTCGCAATTTACGCAATTGTATAAATTGCGTTCACTACGACGATCATTTCTTCATTTTCATTAAAAACTTTGTTACTGAAAATAATTTACCTCTTCTAATGACTGACATCTTTGCAGCGATTCAAGTTTTTTCTGAACTTGATCTGAAACACAACAAACACAATTTGAATTCACCTCCGCACTTAAAGAATTCCTAAACCACGTTATAATTATGAGCAGAATAGAGAGGTGACATGAATATCGATCACCTCAAAAAGTCTATTAAGGTTACATACAGCTGTATTGCAGAAGGGATCTGAACAGCTAGCAGAACCATAAACGAGCTCCATACCTTGAACTCAAGAATCAACCAACTATGGCTTCAAGTAGTGGGATTCACCATTTCAATTCCGCTTCCTTTGAGGCATCGAACATTCAAGTCTTCAACATACAGTATCTCTCTCTCTCTCTGTCAACGGACACTCCATAAGACGAACATCTTATGTTGGTCTTAGCTGTTCTTAAGTCGTTTTCTTTGACTCTTTAAGCGGGCACCTCTCTAAGATGGACACTGCCAGCGGTATTTATCTTTGGGCGCTTTCGAAAAGTCAGAAATGGCCGGCTAGACCGGTCATATTGAAATGAAATGTTTCGAAATAAGCCCATAACCTGATTAAACCTGGGCTCCTGATTAAACCCATCACTGCCTTACATACACCATTTAGAAATAATCTGGATAGTCCTGATTAATATTGGAATTCCCCTGACAACTAGACTGGTCTGGCTAGCCAGTTCTGACAAATGGGAAGCGCCCTTTGAGAGTAACTTGTTTACCAGTGGTTCAATTTTACATAGAGGAAACTCTTAACACTTTAAAACCTTTACATACCAAGTGTTATAAGGTTATCAACTTTACAGTTCACTAGCTTGACCGTGGTAGGTCCCTGGATGGAATTCACCTTTAGAGTCAAGAACTTTGAAGTCTGTGAAGACAAGACGGAGATGGGTTTAAGATGTGTTTGAGTCGACATATAGCTCCAAAATTCAGACGCACAATTCACACATCGACTTACCCTGTCCAAGTACATCATGGCATAATCCATTTGCCCCTGTAACATCAGGTGTCTAGCTCTCATCCAATTCACTACAGAAACGTAAGCAAATCCATTACTCTGCGAGTCCATTGCTCATCTTGTTTAAGTCACCTTTAATGTAGTATACCGTGTAAAAGCTTTTTGCAGGTGTTAAATCATTTTCATTTTGTGGTTGATTAAAAAAATGTGGCACCACTTTTCCAGCCATTCAAAAGAAGACAATACCGACCCCGAGAATAGATCGCACGGTTTTTCCCGCGCTTGGCAACAGGTTCATGTATTCGGTTCGAGCTACGATTGGTTAATCAGATAACAATCAACTCAGTGGACACCATCATAATAGGAATAAACACCTCTTATAGCCATTTCTAATGTGAAGTCACCATGGATAGTCTGATCACAGCTAATGCGGTGAAGGTACTCGATATCAGTGGCCAGATACTGACTGGAAAATCCACTCCCTCGAAGAGGGGACACAACTGATCCACCACTGCGAGAAAAAAAAGAAAATCTGTTGAGAATCTATGGGAAACACAAAACACTAGAAAGGAGCTTCGTGTTTGATCAAGCACTTGTTGTTTCATTGTTACTTGATACTTTTGGTACGACACAATTAGGTCCAGTAGGACATTCCCTAAATGTGATCGCTTACAGAAATACACAATCGGCGACAAAATTAGTTGAGACACTTCGCCCTAAACTTTACTGCCTTCCAGAGGGGAAAATAAAGCTTTTCCTCTCCCATCCCCTCCACGTAATGTTGTGCCGCTGTTCGGGCTACCTATAGAAAACAACAAACACCCCAGGTTTGAATGAAGGAGAGGGGAGAGGGAAAGTTCAGGTATAGCTATAGTTTTGGCTTGGTACCAGTCCTATAATTTATTAGTTTCAGTCTTCCCCATCGCAAATTAAAATAATGCTTGTCACAACTTTCGGTATTTCCAACATATAGCGCACAAAAACTAGGCTTAATCTTTTGCAAGAATAAAAACATCATAAAATACACACATACTCACCCTCGGGGTGAACTAGCAGGGGAGAGACTGGACGAGGACTTTGACTTCGCTGTGAGCAACTTGTCCAGTGTTAGTTCATTGGCCACGAGCACAAGCTAAAAAAAAACAGCGTTTATACAGAGAAATGAATAAGACCCTGTCCAAAAAAAGAGCGTTTTCGTTTTGAAAACGCATGCATTTCGATGCGTTTAGGCCTCTCGTCCACACTAATAGGCTGAGCGTTTTCATCGACAACGCATCGATTTGAAAATCAGAACTACAACTACAACAGCTACTATTATCAGAACTGTATATGCAGCTAAGTGCACTTCCACTGTAAACAAATTATCAAGATGTTTAGGTCTTCTACCTTTGCCATTCTTGTCCGATACAACTCGTCCTGGTCATCACTGTGGGAACAAGTAGTTAACGCAATAATAAAGTCAGGTTTTTACTTACTGGTACCCAATGTGTTCACCTTTGCCGCACTTTATAAAACGTACTATAATGAGAGAGATTCCTTAAGACGGGAACGAATACGAGTACGACATTTTCTCAATAGTAACAAGTGCTCGCGCGTGAGACAGCGTCATTTTGGCGGGAAAACGTGGTAGCCGTCGTCATTCTAAGACGAGTTTTAGCGAGAATAGAGAGCTTTAAATTCTGAGATGAGTACAACAACGAGTACGAGATTTTCTCAATACTGAGTATTACTCGCGCGTGAACCAGCTTCATTTTGGCGGGAAAACGTGATAGCCGTCGTCACTCTACTACGAGTTTTAACGAGAATGTCGTAGTGGCGGGAACAAGTTATCAAATTTAAGAAGTTTTGTCATTTTACTATTGGGAGAGGACTTAACCTCCTTCGGTATAAATAACCGTACTATCTTTGTAGGTGAAAAAAAGTACAATGAAGTTTCAGGGGTGTCTTTTTTTTTTTTTAGAACACGAGCAAAAACTTTAAGTTAAATCTCCTACAAGTACTTGTTCTCAAGGGATCTAAAGCTCTCTAATGTCGAAGTGGCGGGAACAAGTTATCAAAAAGAAGTTTTAGTATTTTGCAATCGGGAAAGGTCTCAACCTTTTTATCTGGTGAAAAAAAGTACAATGAAGAATTCCGGGGTGTCTATTTTTTGACAATATTCGAGAAAACTCTAAGTCAAATCTCGTACTCGTAGTTGTTCCCTTTGAGGGCTTTAACAAAGTAAACACGGAATTCACTGTTCTGTTTCGGGAGCCATGAATGTCATACTTAATCTTCAAGCAATCTATGAGAAGGACTCTAAACTTCATACCTGCCAACTCTCCCGGTTTTCCCGGGAGTCTCCAAGTTTTTCATCAAATCTCCCGATCTCCCGGTTAGAGCACCAAATCTCCCGGATAAAATGGACTTTTGAGCATTTCTGTGCTTTAGTTTGAAATTGAGTCCATTNTACATGAGGTTCAAAGTGTGAGTAGAAATATATTGTTAGTTGTTTGTGTGAGGGAAGGAGGGTGAAAAGGATGTGATATTGCTGTTTAGAGCATGAGGGTTAGCAGATTGTTGTTTTAATGCAAAATGGAGAGTCTCCAGATTTTAGATCTCCGGAGGTTGGCAGGTATGAAACTTGTAGAAAGGTGGAAAACTTCTTGTTTGTTTATTTTATGTTTTGTTTTGTCTCTGACGAGCTTTACTCTTACTTATTGAAGAAATAGGACATATAAAGCAAATTTTCTCATACCAAGACTTAACTTGTAATACTAAATTACGAACATTATTAAGAGACGTTTAGTTGGTTTGGAGAAATAAAGGAGGCGAAAAACAAATTAGCCGAGTTTCTCTGGATATGACGCGAACTTGATTCTCCTTTCCTTGCTGTCAGAAAGGATTATTAAAAAAGAGCCTTCCGCCATTTTTTATACTTTCAAAATCTGCACAGATCGATGAAGTGGTCCACAAAGCAAACAATTAAAGAGAAACTATCCAAAAAAATTAACGACTTCCCGACTTCGTTGTTTTTTTAGTGTCAGTTGCAAGGTTTATTACATTTTATGACACTGGGGGGCATTTGCCATGGTTAAACATAATTCACATGTAATATAATGATTTGAAAAAGTGCTCCGAATAAACAGTTCGCTCGTTAAATATTGATTAAACCTTAACCTTTCAGTAACGTGTCTGTAGTTTAGCTAAAAACGGCTTGAAAGAGAAATTCGAAGTAAAATAGACAAATAATTTTGAAAATTTTTCATCAATAACGTGATATCTGGTTATATCGCTGCATGCCATGACAACGTTTAATGTACTTGAATAATCTACATGTTAGTAAAACACTTTTTAAGGAAATTAAGTTTACAATTTCCGCCATATTCAACACATTTCACATATATTTAACAAACAAATAACTATCCTGGGAGTTTTATTAATAGATCCTTTTTCGCTTAAAGGCCACCGATGCGGGGAAAGCTCGCAAACATTATTAACAATACTAACTGGTGTAATTTTATCGCATTTATAAAGAAATAGCTAGAGCAACACAGTTACGACTATAGGGTAGGGTTTCGAAATAGTTCAAAAGGTAAATTTGTGCGAAACAAAGTCCGTAAATCTTAGCGGCTATATGAAACTTTCTTTAAACAATGAAAGAACCATATAATTTGGTTTCGCCATATCCAGCTTTATCAAGGGCGAGACAGGGAGACGGAAAAACCTTTGTACGGCTATGTAACTACTCTCGGTGTAAGATAAAATATCTAGAACGGTCTGCCGCCCCCTCATCATAAACAATTCTCCAATGTAAACGATTATCATTTTGCACTTTTTACATTAGTGTCATTGACAGTTGATGACTGGCATAGAGATTGTTCCACCTGTCGCGTCGTTGAAAAATGTATACAAAATAGTTATAAGTTTTCTACCCTTTGCTTTCTTCTCTTTTCTTAGGTTCAACTCTACAGCAACAAATTCATGAATAATGTTAGCAAATCTTCAAACAACAGCTTCCTTTATTTCATCTCTCCCCGGCAGAGAAGTCTCTTAATCTTCTTCTTCAAGTCTCTCTTGAAAAAAGCGTAGGCCAAAGGGTTGATGCCGGAGTTTAATACTAATACAAGCGTTTTATATTGGAAATCATTACACGATTTCTGAGTAAAAATATATACAAAACCACAGCGAAGATATATTCCGTAGCAGATCACAAATATTCCCAGAACAATCGACATCATTGTCACTGCAGACTTGTCGCGTGAGTTGAACGTCAAAACCCGGTGGTTGAAACTTAATTGTTTCGCATAACTGGCAGCTAGTCGATCGTGTTTGTACACCACATGTACCATGGAGGCGAAGAAGAATACTAACATACAGAGTGAAGCTATCTCGAAAATCATTGTGCATATGCATATGAAAATAATTATTGAATCTAGTGTGGCATAAAAAGCGAAAAAAAGCGAAGTTGTCACAAAACCGACAGGGATTGCCCAAGAAAAGAAAATTACTCGAATGACGCGGCGACAAGTCATAAGTGTTTCATATTTGAGCGGTTTAACGACGGCAATATAGCGATCAAGCACCAAACTGCACAAGTTCATCATGGACGCATAACTGAAAAGCCACCTCATCAGATAAACCCACGACGGCCATTCTCGAGGCCAAATGCAGCCATTTTTGAGGATGATCATACAGAGGAACAGGAATGGAACAACGGTTGCTCCAACCAAAAAATCCGCCAATGCAAGAGAAACAATTAACGCGTTGATTTTAGTGCGGAGTTGTCGATCGCTGCTCACGAGGAAAATAATAAATCCATTTCCAGTTATCGTCAGAATGGAAAGAACCCAGCCTAGAATCCAAAACCAGATGGCCATTGACAAATTCAGAACTTTGAACTGCGCAGTTAAACTTGATGGCTCCAACTTCTTCAGATCCTTTTAACTTTTAGAACATCTGGCCTTTTACACATTTGTCACTTTCAGCGCTTGTTTTCGACCAATAGCACAAGAGAATACGACAACAGTAATTCCAATTTTTGCGATTATTAAGAAATCTGAACGTCAGCAAAAATAAACAAAAACGTGTGAAGAGTCTGTGATAAAACACAGGGTACATTTTATTTACTTGTCAGGAGACATCAAACGCTAAGACTTTGTCAACTTTTGAAAAAATAGCGATAAGTGAATCTACCACAATTTTAATAAATCCCTTTTAAAACGTTTGCTGTAAAATATTTAAAACATGTTTAAAACATCAAATTGTAATGCATATAAACAACATTTAGTAAATACTAAAAGTTTTATTTTCTTTATCTTGTTCTGTTTAGGTTTCCTTTTCTCAGTACTCGTAAGTGTTAATAACTGAAATGCAGATTAAAGAAGATTCTGAAGTGTTTATCAGGTAACTTAAGCCACTACTAAAAAAACACGGCCTTTGCACCCTTTAATCATTCTCAGCTTTATAGCGAAGATTACTTGAAAATAACAAACTTGGTGACAAATCGATTTTTCAACAAAAACGGAGAAAAAAGTCTGCCCTGTTGCAAAGATTTTCAAGAAAAACGTGATGATTAAAAAGACTTCAAAAACACATCAATAATACATAAAGAAAATGAAAAATAAATTAGGGTTTAGCGAGTTTCTTTAACCTTAATAAACAAGGCCGAGAATTTCCAATTTTCTTGGCGAATATAAATCCAAAACGATAAATACAAGAATGAGAGATTTCTAAAGAGGAACGTCTATTTTTTACCGAGTTTAACAGCGCTCAACTACGTTTCGTGTTTGTTAAAATAGATAGAAACCTCCGACAACTAATGAAGAAATTATAAACAATAAACATGATAAAAGTAAATTACAAAGACACCCATTAACGTCCAAGTCAGTCTGGAGATGAAACGCGATGCATGGGAGATAATCCTCACGAGAAATAAGCCCGGGGGGGAGGGGGGGGGCTACTTGGGTTAATTTTTGCTGGGTATGTGCCGCTGGCCTCTCAGAGCCCCTTCCCCATTATAGTCTATTCTGTGGCCAATTATAGACCCCACCTTAGTCACTTTTGGGCAAATATGTAATTTTCCGATCCCAACCTAGTCACTTTCTATTTTTATGAATTGGCACATTTTTTACATTGAATGAAGAACACTTTACTTTTCATCTACGGTACAAACATTCTGGTACGTTTGCTAACCGTAAATATGAAGAACTGTCTTACCCCAAAAAATTCGAACATGTGCGACCCCATTATAGTCAATCCAGTCGTGAAAATGCAACCCCATCCAGCGGCACATCCCCATTAGCCTCCTATAAGGAAGTAAATATGCTATTTTTTTCCGTTCTTGACAGCACAGGCTTACCACCCTCTTTCTGTGATGAGGACTGTGTTTGCAAATCGTTGAATAAGAAATTATTGAATAAGACTGATTTAGCCTGCAAGCAAGCTCTCTGGGGCGCGAGCAATACCGCTGCAAGTAAAATAGGTAATGGCGTCATTTCGTTGCTCTGATAACTCCGATGTCATTGCAACCCTGATCATCACAAATTTTCATCTTTATCTAATAAACTGTGGTAACAATTTTACCAAATCTTTGTTTATGACGACGTAGTTTATGCTCAAACTTGGAAGGTATTGACCCTGAAACTCTGTATCGAACCACCTCATCCCTGCTAAGTTCACTTTGAATTATTTGTTTCAGGCATTTGCTCGGTCCCAATAGCATTAGTGTCATAAATACTGCCGAGGATAAATAACGGAATTATTATTATTACTATTATTATTATTACTTAAATTATTAATATAATTATTATTATTATTATTGTTCGGACCTTTGCTGTTATAGGTTTAAGCATTACGCTGCTCACTTAGATTTAGCCTGCGAACTGCAGACGTATTTTCGGTCCTTTCGGAGGGAGAGAAACGACGACCGGAAATACGTCTGCAGTTCGCAGGCTAACTTAAATTAATACAATAAAAAATTATCTTAACCCACCAAAATTCTGAAGGAAGAATAACGTGCTTTCTCATTCTCTGGTAAACTTTCAAGAACACATCAGCCAAGGCGGAAGGCCTGAAATGATAATATTACTAGATCAATAAACTAAAATGAGAAATGTCGCCGGTTTTAAAACCACGCAACATGCAAATTGGAATTAGTACTAAATTACTGCAGTAGTAAGCACCATATTTCATGCGATTAGAGGGGTTCGACCTTCAATAACTTTTTCTGCCTATAATCTGGAAACCAAACTGAGCTTATTGGGATTGTGAGGACACTCTAGTTATTTTTATTGATACTCTTGCATGTAGCTTGCTGTCCAGATTACAGGTAGGGAAAGATAACAATTCGTAAGCTGACTTTATCTATAAAATACCCGCACTTTTCTGGAAAATCTATATACACGCCAGGGCATGCAGGCATCAATTATAAGGAGGTGGCTGATCATCTCACTGGAAAAGCCTTTCCTTTGGACAAAATTGAAACATGTTCGACCTACATCGTGTAGGAAGAGCATGCTTGACGATAGCCTGCGTAGCAAGCGTTTCCAATCGAGTTATTGCGCGAAAGTTAGAGCGGAAGCAAAAAAAAAGTTGAAGGGGGAGGGGGAGGGGAGAAGCGGTTCCTTCGTTCCCCTCCCCCTCCCCCTCCCCCGTCATTCATTTTTTTTTTTTTGCTCTTGTCCCAGCTTTCTAGACGAACCTCGCGAGGAAACGCTTGCTACGCAGGCTAGCTTGACGATTTAGCACAGCTAAGGGTGTGGTCGTGTATTGATCCACGTATTCCAGAATAAGAATACGCAAAAGTTGTTGTTACAAATCTCCTCTACCGTGATTTTTGACCATTTAAATTTTACATACATAGGAATATTTTATTTAAAGTAGATTTCTAAATATTTAAATGTAACAAATACCAAAACAAGTGATTTCTAGATTTTAATCCATCCATTCTTATTTCGGCATACGGCCAGTGGAACACGCCCTAAATGGCTTCCCATGTTCGGTGTACATCAAACGGTTTCATCCAACATTTTGCGTCACGAACAGCTGTTTACTGGGCTTTGCCGCTTCTCCCAAGTGTGAAAAAACAACCAATCAGAAACCGCTTAGTTTGTTTATTTAACTGCAAAGAAGATTTCCACTTTCATAGATACCGAACACTCGCCAAGACTTACGCGGTAATACGCGAAAAACGTTACGTGGGCTCACTTTTTTATATTCAATCAAAAATTGTTCGTTCATTCAGCCACCACATGTTGTGTGTGCAACAGATGATGGGTTAAACGGAAGTGATTTATCTAGCAACAAAACTATAACTAACCACTTCTTGTTGTTCTGAGCCGCAAGGCATATTCCATACTGATTCATCAGGTCAATAATTCCACTGTTTAATGGAAGCAAAAAACCAATCACGAAGAATAATACTGATTCCTTAATATTAATAATTTTTAAACAACATTGTAAATATATATCTGTACTTTTTAGGTTAGTTAGTTTAATTGGAGGGCCTCTGGTTTATCAGCTTCTGCTGTTATGCGTTTACCCTCATTTTTAAATAAAGTTGATTGATTGAATAGAATTTGTTTTTTCTTTTGCTTGCTTGCTCGCTTGTTTGTTTGTTTTTTCAAAAAATAAAGTTTCTACCCTTCATTGCAAAAACTATTTGCCATGAAAAGGCTGTTTTCTCTCTCTTCCGTCTTTGATCGAGAGAGAGCCATGAGATCAAGAGTAGGAAGTGGGAGTTTGTTGTCTACAAATACAGACCTTACTCACAATGCCCGCCATCTTTGCACACGCTTCAGGACTGGCAAGATAAAAGCGATTCCACCTGGTTTCTCAGGGAGCAAATTATTTGCCAATACAAGAAATCGTGTCGAGTTTGTTTTTTCTGTATAACAGAAAATTAAAAAAAACCGTTATGCTTTAACGACAATAATGGCAAATTATGGGTGGAAGTAATCATTGCTGCTTTCTTTGGGTGCAGTAGCGACTGTATTTGTCCTAGCAGCAAGCAATAAAGACGTAAGTCTCGTCAAACCTCTAACTCTAACTTTTGCACAACTAAAATAGTTGTCTTGTTTTGAGAGAATAAACAAACTTTATCGCGATTGCTCGTATTGTTGAATTTTCTAATTCGCTTGCCCCCTGAAATACCACGTGACATTGCTTTGGTCCCAGCAATCCTAGTCGTGAGTGAGGTCTATTCAAGTAGCTGATTGACAGTTATTCAAAATCATTTCTACCCATTTTCCATATTTTCCTTGACAAACGTGAGAATGTCCAGAGTTTCTGCTTGACCTGAGATTACTTCATCGTATGCATTTCTATCACCTTTTAAACAAAAGGAACACATTTGAATCACAGTGAATCTTACAGATTTCTAGTATTGTTCTCAATGACCAGAGTACAAGTATAATACCATCAACTGACATACATTTCAATTTGACTCTAAAGATGTTTTATTGCACCAGTTGTCAAAACATCATTCACTATCAACAACAACAGTCCTATTCAGGACTACACTCACCCGGACAATCATATTTCACCCACTTATGACATGACCA